TGGGTGCACGCCCAGGGTTCAGAAATTGGCAGAATGAAAGCAATCAGGGCAGACAGGTGAGGGGGTCCGAGACCCTGCCCTACTAGCCCCCCTCAGCAGACTCAGGAGGCAGGTATCCCTGGTCAGCACCTGTCCAAAGTGGGCGGGGTAGCCCAACACGTGGACGAAGAGCAGTTTGGTCAGCTGGCGGTGTCTGTGCAGAGGGTCCCCATCGCGGAAGGTGGCCCGGATGTGGGCGCACTCCTTCTGGATCACCTCCCTCTCTTGGGCCTGCGTCTTGGCCCTGCGAATCTCCTGGATTAGATCCTGAAGCTTTAGCGAAGGCACCACCATCCTGAGGAATGGGGCCCGGGAAAGGAGAGGGCTTAAAGACTCTCCGGCTGGTGATGCCAGGCCTTTCTGGGCCAAGATCCTAAGGGCCCCGAAACTAACCTTAATTTTTCCCCCCAACGGGTCTCCAAATCCACCCCTATCTCGCTCCGCGAAGAGATCACCACTACGCGTGCGTCGTTGCCCCACCCCGCGCCTGTTCCTACAGAGCATGCGCCAGGGCCCCGCCTATTCCCCCCACTTGCCTTGCCCCACCTGGCGGTCCAGACCCTGTTCGGCGCTTGTCCCTTCCCCGGCCCTGCGCTGTTTCTCCCGCGGGATTCCTCCCTCCCATTCCCATGACAGGCGGCTTCAGCTTCCCACCCCAGGACGCCAGCTCACCTGGCTTCCGACTCAACTCAGCTCCTCTCCCCCCAAGCGCTTCCTGGTACAAGGCCGAGCAGGGGTTGGCGCTGCGTCGGGTCCTTCCTTCTCCCCGCCCCCACCACGGGCCCCAGCCCCTCCCGCGCGGCCCTGCGGAGCCTTCCTGTGTCCTCGGACCTGGGGCCTCGGGCTTCCTGTCCGCAAAGGGGCTTGAGACAGTGTGATTGTCATGGGAGTCCCCACGAGACATGCTCGTAGATCCTCACCAACCAGAGTCCCAGCACGCTTGCTTTTGAAGCTATCACACCCCAAAGGAGATGACAACCCCCCCTTTTTTGAACTTTTTTATTAATATATTTTTTTTTGTTAAATTTCTTTGTATTTTTTTTTCCTGCAAGACTTGGTGTTGGCGGCACTGTTGTAATTTAACTTCAATCCCAAATTCCATGAAATAGAAATCAGAAGTAAAGGTTGAGAGGGGAGGAAGGAGGGAGGCAGGCCAGGGAGTAAACAGAGTTTGACTAGAAAAAAAGAAGAGGGTGTGTGTGGTGGGCATTCCTAGGCAAGGCCATTCCTTGAGGGAGGGGATTGGCAGGCAGCTTGCCTCTGCCTCATGCAGGAGAGGGAGGAAAGATCCCCTCGGGGACTCTTCAGTCCCCTCTTCCTAGGGCTTCCTGCCCCCAGGGGAAAAGCTAGTACCAGGGATCAGCCACAACCTCCAAGGCGGCTCTCCGGCTCTCCACCCACCTCACCCAGGGTTCGACTCCTGCCTCTGTTCCACCTGGAAAGTGTGTACAAGATGAGTTTCCTTTGATCCTATTTCACAAGGTTCTGGTGTGACAGGGGAAGGGCTGTAACCCATTTTGAGACCCCCCCCCCTAAACTTGCCACAGTGTCTGCTGCCCTGTGAGCTTCTGGTACCCTGTCTGGTTCCATTCCCCAAAAGTGCCTCCCCGCTGTCACAACTGCCAGAGTTGGGGAGCGGGTCCTTGCTAGAGTGCCTCTAACCCTCTGTGGTAGAAATGTCTTCTTCAGGCCCCTTAGGAATATAGTCAAAGGCCACAAGTGAGTCCAGACCAACCAAATAAACTTTTAAGGAGAGACAGAAGGGTGTGAAAGGTCAGTGGCAAAGTGTGGGAGGGGGCGGACTTGGCTGCATTGGAGACTTTTGTTCCTTTACACGTTGCTCTTGGCATGGCAGGGCGCCGTAGGGGGTTGGACGAGGGGCTGGCTGTTGAGGAAAGGAAGAGGAGGGTGCTAGGGAATTACTCTACTTTCCACTTCCCTTATCTCTCTCAGGGAAGGATCAAGTTAGGCAAGAACCTAGCTCAGCGCTTGGAGCTGAGATAACATTCTTCGAGGTAAGAGGTGGAAGCTGTACCTCCGCCATCTTTTTCACTGGCCTCACAAGGACACCAGGCCCCTTGGGCTGGGGAGCCACACAGCTCAGCCAGTGCCTTGTCTAGCCTTCATTCACTCCTCCATTTTCTCCCTCCTCTCCACTCAGCTTCCAGAAGACTCCTTAGGACACCAAGCCCCCACCCTCAGTGAGGTTGAGGTCTAAAGAAAAAGGGGGGGGGCAGGGGCAATGGTCTGACTTAGATTTGTGTGTCTCAGAGAAGAGAACAACTCTGAGAGAGAAAAGCCCTTCATATGTAAACAATCTAGAGAAAGAAGGGGTTGGGGTGGGGAAGGGGACGAGGAAGACAGAGACAATCCAGAATAAATGGGAGAACTTGGAAAAAGACAGGAAAAGAAAAAGCAAGCCCCCAAAATAAAGGGGGACAGAAAAGAAAGGAAAGGGAGAAGAGAAAGAAAGATAGGAGGTAAAACAACCAGGAGGAGGAAAAGAGAAAAAGGCAGGTCAAAGGGGTGAAGAGGCAGGCAACCAGAGCCAGATCTAGGCCAGGAAGTAGGCCCAGGTGAGGAGCTGGGAGAACAGGAA